CTTCCTCGAGATGCAGGATTTGGGTACGGAAACGATTGATAAGGTCGCCTAGACCCTGCCACATCATCATCTCGACTAGCGGGTAAGAAATGAAGTTGCTATAAGTCGCTTCAACATTACTGGATTTGATGTTTGCGAGCGGATGAGGAAATTGGCTCGTGGGTGTGTATGGAAAGCTTAGCTACGTTAGTGGCCATCTTTCGTGCATGGTTCTGACACTTACGTGAACATCATGTGGAGTGGAATGCCCAACTTCTCAGCAATGTGCTGCGGTGCAATGCTGGGAGGGTTGGCGATAATGGCATCGGCAACAAAAGGAGCCCTGTCACCCACTGTAGGAGGTTAGCTCAAGTAAGACCAAACACCCCTGTTGTTACTCCACGAGACACAATTGTTCATTGGTCCCATTTTCTCGCGAGGAGTTCGCAAGTGAAATAGACATGACTTACTCATTTTTACATTAGTCATGTCAGTCTCATCATCCGTCGCGTTGATACATGCACGCCACATGCCCTGGAACATTTCGTACATTTGTGCTCTCCTGCGGCCAATCTCACCCTCTTTTATTGTCTCGATGTTGGGTACAAGACCTGGGTTCTTGACCATGAAAGCCATCAACTCTGCTGGATTGCCACCAACCGAGAAGAACTCCAAGCCCGAGTCTTTTTCAACAAAGTCCCTGAACGCTGGATGTGTGGCCAGACGCACCCGATGCCCATAGTCCTCTTTGAGAATCTTGCCGATCCGAATGAAGGGCTGAATATCTCCGCGGGATCCGATAATGATGATGACAATGTTAAGCTTCACTCGCCTTGCAGGATTGTGCTCCATCTCGTCATCTTCCGGAGCAACCTTGGTGGCGTCTATATCGTTGTAGGATTCTGGGCCGCGGTCCTCGTCGTTGCCATGTTTCTTTACAATGGTCCCCAGGGCCTTTGCAATGTATCCGCTACCCAAGTTCTTTTCAAGAATGCTCAGTTTCAGCCGACCGTCTGCTCTTGAAACCCTGGCCTTTGTATTGAAGTGTTCGTTGGCAATTCGGAGTCGGGAGAAGGGACGCGATTTACGAGATGTCTGATTAGTGAGCTCTTCGGCATGACCAAGGCTTTTGTTGCCTGAGTATACACCCTCATCGTCGGAGGAGTCTGAAGAATCGGTATCAGCATCAAAGGTTATAGTTGCTTGTCGTTCTGGCTGCGCTGGCCTCTTCTGCTGTGGCTGCTGTTTCTTTGCAAGCAGCGAGTGCCTTACAGAGGGCTTTGGTCGCTCGGTCGCCCATCTTTGCTGTTGTGCTGGACGGGACTTTGATGTAAAGTAGTCTTGGTTGCTCGGTGTGGTTTCCGAGGGTACATGCGTCCCATTTCCATAGTCCTTTCGCGAGACGCTCCCCTGTTGCTCCATTTCTGCAGCCGGGGTATCTTCGACGGGGGATGTCGTATGGGATGTCGTCTTAAGTTCATGGCCGGGGATATTCGGAAAAGACGGCTCTTCAATGACCATGCCCACAGGCGCGATACTGCCTTTGTCTTGAGGCGAAGACATAGTTTCCGCCATGTTCCCGGTAGACATACAGATGGGGTCGATGGCTCGGTGGGTCGCGCACGTTGGTATTCAACAGCGCGTACAGATTCGCGCAGTGACGGAGCGATGATGGTAGCGACAGGACAGCAAAGAGCAAAAGGTTCAGGCTAGACTGGCTAGCCGCTCCACTTGTCTGCAGGCGATGACAATTGTTCTGGTGATGGCAATGCTCGTCCCAATGCGGTCAACCAACGTGTGCAAAGGGGGGCCGCAAGTGCAGATGGTGTCGAATCATGGTGGCAGGAGAATAGATGGACAAGGCTAGGCCAGCAGGAACTGCAGGCGGCATGACATCACACGCGCATGTGGGTCAGCCGGCAAGCGCCTCCGCGGAAACTAAAGGCCCATAGTCTGATTGGTCGGAAATCGATACTGTGCCTGGGCGTTTTTAGCCGCGAGACGAGACCGAGGCTGGAACTCGCAGGTGCAGGAACTAATCTGGGGCCAGAGTATCTATGTACACAAATTTATCATGCGCTATCAAATTAGGATGAATTGTATGGTACCGTTGCAACCTTTGGCCGGTAGCATCCTGGCCTAGCTGCATATCTTGGTTCGCAGATGCATCGACGGCGATCTGGTAGCGCACTAGTCACGTTCCAGAAGATGTCCGTCTTAGCGGCACACAGACTGTCCAACATCCTCTAGGCAGCCTTAACAACCATAGCAACCAAATAAAAAGGAGGCGACTTTGGCACTTATCCACAGACATTGATTTTTTCGTTCTTTGTACTGTACACACGTACATGCTAAAACCCGGCCACGCGACTTATGGAGATTAGGCAAGAAAAAAAGTTCAGAAACAAGATCAAAAAACATACGACAGCGGGGATTCGCCAGTGGTCACCCACCTGACTACTAATCCGCCGATTTCGAGCTTGAGTACCGCTGAGCGAACGGGAAGCGCTAATATCTCGAATCTATGGCCGTATGTGCCAGACTCTTAAAATTAAGTGTGTGTTATCCGCAAAAACTGAGTGTTTGCGACTTGTTCAGTATCCAGGAGAGCTCAGGTGGTATCATCGATAGCCAAAATTTATCAGCTTTGCAACATGTACGAATCTCTTCCTGTGTAATACTGGATATACAAGGGTGTGGACGTAGAGCTGGGCTCTCGCAATTATATGTAAGACTGGCAATTCTATTATGATCGATCCCCTTGTCATTACCGACGAGGTGCAATGAAGCTTATCTTGGGTTAGTCATGATCCATCCAAGCATCTGCATCTAACAATAACACGACGAGAGCGATCGCCGCTAAACCAAATTCCCCACAAGCCCGTCATTGTGCATTCGCTTTTGGCACCATGCCAATGACAATCAGCGTCCGACGCCCAGGGTGTACAGCGTCGCCTTGACAATGTCTTGTGCCCATCCAAACCAACCCCTGCCCGCCTGGATCGAGTTGAGAATCTTGACAAAGTTGCGGTTCCACTGGTCCTGGTCCTCCCACTCGTCGGCATACGGCTCGAACAGGGCCGTCTCGATGCTGTCGGGGTCATTGGGCATGGCCAAGTCCCATTCGCCTTTGGGGTTCTGACGAACATGTACCTTTGGCCCTACGCAGAGTGCACGTCCCAGGATGCGCGAGTCGGCTACAAAGCGCGTGCCAGCATCAACCACATCCTCAACCTTGCCGAGAGCGCCGCCTGCAAGGATGAAGCGTGCTCCCGCCGTCACAATGGGCGTGTCGATGAAGTAGGGACAAAGCATATTGACGCGTATGCCCTGCACGCCGCTGCTAGCACGGAGGGTCCTGAACAGGCCGAGCACAGCATGCTTTGCTGCACAGTACTGCGGCTGAATGACAATGGGACAGAGAGATGCCACCGAGCCAAGTAGGAGCAGGTGGCGGTCGCGGGGCGAAGTTGTCGAAGGCTTGGCGTCGATGCTACAGGGCGACGAGCCCGGGTTCTTGGGTAGCCAGAAATAGGCCAGGTGCGTCGTGTAGAGCACGCCGGTGAGGTTGACATCGATGATGCTGAATTTGGGCGGTGGTGGCTGAGCGGCATCCAGACCAGAGCCTTCCTGGAGTATGTCGCGGCCGGCAATGCCTGCATTGGCAACCACGCAGTCGATGCCACCGTGGGGGCTTAGCCTGACCGCCTCCTTGAACAGATTGACCTGAGACTGCCAGTCCGTCACGTCGCAGTGCACAAAGTGCGCCTTTGCATTGCCGCTCGCATTTGCATTGATGCGGCGACACAGGCCATCGCCTTTGGATACGTTGATGTCGCCCACAATGACCGTCGCACCGCTAGCCACCCACTTCTCAACGAAGCCTGCTCCGAACCCACTTGCTCCGCCCGTGATTAGGATGACCTTGTCTGCAGCCCAGGTGGCATCGTACTTGGCCGTGATATCAAGCGGCGGCGACTGGAGGATGTTTGCTTTCTGGGGCTTGTACTCGTCCATTGCGGTCGCGGGTTGTGTGCAGTGTCTTGTGGGGAGGGGGAGGCCTTAAGTACTAGAGCTGTCAGTACTGACAGCAGCAAACGGCTGCTGCACTAGCAACATGTCGTGCATACCTTGGCTAATCTCAGCCGCAGGCCAGAACTAGACGGACATACATATATATATCCTTGTAAGAGTCGTGCTCTCTCCATGGTTCTTACAAAGGTACACAGCTATTGGACAATGTCTAGTGCACGGCTGAACCGCTCAACAACTCGCTATACTTCTCAATGCTGACAGCATATACCCCACTGCAAAATGTAGCAGTGTTCCAATTTTGCATTCAGTCAGCCGATTAGTTCTACCCGATAAACGCCTTGATGGTAATACAAGCACTTGTTATTGGATTATTCGTCAACATCCCTTTTGCACATGTCAGCGCTACTCTTCTTACTAGCTCTGCTCTATATGCAAACTACAATGTGTCATCACAGACTGCGTTCCCCAAACATCTTCTGCGCTTACTAAACCCAATATGCATTTTCTCTCTATTGTATCATGTCGATGTTGAGATGCATCTCTCTAAACTTGCAGCACTCTTGGCCCAGTAGGGGCGAGATGAACAATCCCAGGATACCTGGCTCGGTAAATACTACTGACTGTTATGTAGATACAGAAGTCATGATTGAAAGTGATAGTTTCCTTGGGCTGTGGTATTTCCGCCGTCTTGTCGCAGATGATAGTATGGACGCTTTTGATCTTAGTTGGCACCGCGTGCAGTTTCCTGGATCTTGAGCGTATTGCAAGTATAGAGGATGGTAAGGCCATACACATGAGTCTGCAATACAATCATCCTGTGCGCACTCTGCCCAAGTGCTTGTTGATGAAATGCTGTGGCGGGGCTCGTATGACAGCGCCGCGGTTGTACCTGAATCCCAGGCAGCAACCCCTGCGAAAATCTTGTCACCCCTCCCCCCGCCCACCATGCCCCCCCAACAACATTCACTACCCCTCAATCGCCCAAAATGTCCACCCCCGATGTTTTGCCAACCCGCCTCGTCGCAACTCTCTTCCATAAAACCGGGCCCATCGACTGTCTCGCCGACTTTGAGGTTGTGCTCACGACAATCATCCCAGGCTTGCAACGCGACTCAATCACCACCAAGAGACTGGATGCAACCAAGCAATGTCGCGTAGCCGAGCTGACTTTTCCACTTCCAACCCCTGAGGCCATTACACTCGAAAACCTGCGGAGACACGATGCCGTCGCACAGTTTGAGCGCCAGTCGAGTGTCGAGTGCGTCTTCCAAGCAGACACAATCTACCGGCGCTACAAACGACTTGCCGTCTTTGACATGGACAGCACCCTGATTCAGCAAGAAGTCATTGACGAGATTGCCTCCCTGATTGGCGTCGAAAAGGAAGTCTCCGCCATTACGGCTGCAGCCATGAACGGCGAGCTAGACTTTGAGGCCAGTCTGCGCGCGCGATGCAAGCTGCTAAAAGGCGTGCCCAGCACCGTCTTCGAAACCTTAAAACCAAGAATAACACTCAACGAAGGTGTCAAGGAGCTCATTACTGCACTCAAGAGGCTGGGCTTCAAAACTGTTGTTTTGAGTGGAGGCTTCACGCCCTTGACCGGCTGGATGGGCGAGCAGCTCGGCCTGGACTATGCCTTTGCTAACCATCTCGTTGTCTCCGACGATGGGGCTACCCTCACTGGCGAATTGACAGGCGAGATTGTCCATGCGCAAAAGAAACGACAACACGTGCTTGAAATTGCCGAAAACGAGAACATACTCTTGGAACAAGTAGTATGCATCGGTGACGGCGCCAACGATCTTCCCATGATGGGCGTAGCCGGTCTTGGCGTTGCTTTCCATGCAAAGCCAAAGGTGCAGATGCAGGCTCCTGCCCGCTTGAACTCGAAGAGCATGCTGGATGTTCTGTACCTTTTTGGTATATCCAAAGAAGAGCAGGAGGTCTTGCTACAACAATAATCGTCAAAATATAGACCTCGTTAGTTACGCTGCCTATAACTTCTAGGGTCGCGTGCTTTTCTGCAAAAGGGTAATATCAACGATAGGCCCTAGATTTCGCTGTCTGCAAGTATCACTATGTGAATGGTCATTGGCGAAAAGTAACAATCCATCTGTACGCTGATTTTCGGTTCATCCAAGACTTGAACAGTGTACATGTCCATTAACAGAGCGCCTTGGTATAGATAAGTTTTGCCTGTTTTCAACTATTCAACTCTCAATACACAAAAGTACAATCATCCACTGGAAAACTCAGGTGTGTGTGTGTGTGTGTTTGTGTGGTGTGTGAGAGAGAGAGAGAGAGATTCCGCCCGGTTTCCAGCACTATCATACTCGCAAATGTTTGCAAGGATATCAATTTATCACAGTAGACATCACTCATGGGAAGAAGCAAGTGGAGCCAGAATCAGACAACTAAATGATTTATATGACAAGAATATATGGAGCCTCGAGTATATACAGGGAAAAACTAGCAGTCAAAGTAGCCCAGTTCCCAGGAAAGCCCCTGAGAAAGATTGTACTGCAGCCCAGAAGCCAAAGAAGAGGTTGGTGGGGACAGTGGTGAGCAAGTCGCCCATCCACCATCATCGTTCACACGTTCACCGTTGAACCTTTTGTATCATACCAGAGCGCGGTAAACGCTTACTGGCACTGGGAGTAGTAGGGGTTCATGGTCTTGCAAGAGCCGTTGGCGCAGCACTTGGCGCCAGTGAAACCGGAACCACCGCACTGGGCCCACTGAGCAGCGCAGGCAGCGCCGGGAGCAGGAGTGGCAGCAGGAGCGGGCTGGACGGCGAGGGTGGTGGGAGCGGGAGCAGCAGGGGCGTTGTTGGCAGGGGCGGAAGAACCAGTGCTGGCGGTTCCAGCACCTCCCTTCCAGACGGCAGGGCCGGGCATGGGGAAGGCCTTGCGGCCGTTGTAGATGCTGAAGTTGGCATAGGGGTCAGTGGCCTTGTAGGCACCGGGGAACTGGAGCAAGTCGTTAGTAACTGATGACTTTGTGGCTTGTATGAAGAGAATCGGGAAAAAAAACTTACCTTGACAGTGGGACCGGGGGTACCGTTGCCGCCACCCTCAACCTTGATCTGCATGCAAGAGACATAGTGCTCAGGCTGGTTGACGTGGGAGCGGTGAACACCAATGTGCTCGAAGCGGGCGAGGTACTCTCCGTTGGGAGTATCATTGGGGATCTTGGCCGCAACCCAATCCCTGTTGTAATCGCACCAGGCGGTGGAGGTGAAATCGCCACCGTCGCAGACACCCAACTCGTGGATCTTGAACCAGGCACCGTCCTTTCCGTCGAAGGACTTGACGCTACCGGGAGCCTTGGCCAAGTAGACAAACTCAGGACCGGGGTGCTGGAACTTGGCTCCGACAGCGAGCTTGAGGCGGATCTCGTCACCGGCCTTGACAGTCAGGACATCGGTCCTGGCGGCAGAGGAGAAAGCACCCTGGTTGCAGACAATATCGGGACCATCGACGTGGGAGTTGTCACGGATGTCGGCCGCGGGGTTGGAAGAGAACTTGATGGGGTTGTACTTGGTAGCACGAGTCGACTGGCGAACGTACTTGAAGGCAGAGGTCTCGGCTCCAGCGACGATGGCCTTGTCAAAGAAGTAGTGAGCAGAAGCCACTTGGGCGACGGCGGCGATAAGAGCAGCGGAGAACTTCATTCTGAACTAGCAGCAACGAATGTTTTGGATGGTTGAAAAGAAGGTAGTTTGCGTAGGCAAAGAATCGAAAAGGACTGGAAAAGAATGTAAAAGACTGCTGGTTTGATGGACTCAGAGGCTGATGAGGATAGGATGAAGGAGACATGTCTGTATGTTATATACACAGCATCCGCTGCCCTGTCGTCTCAAGCCTCTCCACCCATAGCCATGCCACCGGTCGTCCCGACTCAGGCGTGTTGTTTGGACGGACATTGATTTGCCCGATCAAACAATGCACAATTGTGGTTCTGAAGCGTTCCTTTGCAGCTTGTCCGCCGTACCAAGACTCTTGGTAGTGGTCCTCTTCATTAGCGAATATCGTATCCTAGGCTATAAGAAGGGTAGTGGCGCTTGTGCAGCCTCGCCGCACACATGGGAAGGATGAAACACGGCGGGGCTGGCCAATCACACCAAAGTCGTAAACAACCTGGACTTGGCTTGATGGGGCCAGCAATAAACACCGAGTTTCAGCATCGCGCTGTCAAAACACAGATTCCTACGAGCCCAGCCTCGACGCGGATTAGCTCGCGGTGGAGTCGTGGTCCGTCGAAATTTCCGCTCTTCATGCAGGCTGGCTTTCCGCTGGCATTCTTCGATGCTTCGATACAAACTATGGCAAATTGGCGGTAGCGAGATACAGGGAGTGCAATACCGCTCCACGGAAGCGCGGCACACTTGGCGATTTGATGTCCATGTGAACTCACGGCATGACACGAGCGGGCCGTTGTGCTACGTACTGTGTAGTTCGTCCTCTGCTTACTCGGTTCGTCCAGATCCTTGGCATCGTGGCCTTGTTACGGGTCATGACTGACGATAAGGCAATATAATATACACAGCTTGGTCAAAACACTATAGGAGAAGGTCATTTTGCAACTACACGTTACTAGCTTTTTTTCACAAACCACCTAACTACTATCTGTCGGCCTTGTTGTTGAACCAATTCGGGCTTATCGTTCCTGGGCAAGAATGCAGTCACCAGACGGTGCAGCCTTGCAAGCCTGTTTGAAAGAAATAAAAAAAAACTCTCCCAACAAACAATGAAGAAAATTCGATGCTGTGCAAGAGACGGGTCATGAATCGCATGTGTGGAAACCCAGCGTTTCGTTCCCCGTTCCAAACGCCACCTGCACCCTGCCAGGGGCGAGACGCGGAGTGGGCGGTTTTTGGGCAAAGCTCGCCTTGGCACCCGCACGTCGCAGCAAAGACAGCGTGCAGCCAGCATATCGTGTATTAATAACTTGGCTCAAATCTTGCACTCCTTCGCAACACTATCCTTCTAGAATACCGGATAGTCTTGGCTTAATATGTTGCTTGTGAAGAGTACCCCGTGAAATTCCCGAAACTACCGGGCATATCGGTGCCATGGCAGATACTGCGTGTGGTCAGTGCGTGCAACAGTTCAGCCAATGCAACACCCCACCAAAATGCGTGCCCACCAAAAAATGAAGCTTTTGACCACCACCAA